CATCTAATTATCGTTATCGATAAAATCCCAGAAAATATCGAGATATAATTTTTTGTCAATATCGCACACCCCTACTCTAGACTAACTTGTTGCACTGGTGCGCCTAACTTTTTTTCTTAGGTGCTCCAGCACAAAAGTTAGGTGCACCCAAATTTTCGACCGCATCGCATTTAACACCGCAGTTTTACAAGTTCTAGTCTTACCTGTGAGGCATACAGTGGAAAGGCACAATGTGGTCACCTGCCTCTTGCTGCAGAAGGGCTATGACACCCCCTTTGCTGCCCAAATTAACAGCAGCACCATCAGCACCCAGAGCAATGATTTTCTCCAGCCAGTTACTGCACTGGTCCCCAAGAGCAGCAAATGCTTTCTTTGAGGCAGCATAAATTCCTAATTAAACAAATAAAAACGATAATACCATTTACTTCACAGATCAAGAGTTTATAATGCAATCTATTTTTTATTTTTTTTTATTTTCAATGATAAGAATATTACATATGGTTAATTAATGCAGTAACGAGACGGTAGGCATATTATTGAGATAGGCTACATGACATGACATGGCTTACCTTGGGCATGGGCATGCTCGACCTCAATGTGTCCAATCAGTATATTCACCGGTCTTCCTCTCCGCAAGATACGACCGTACACAATGACGCATTCCTTTGTGGCGATATCTGTGTCTCCGTCGATCAGGAATGTCATGTATGCACTGTTTGCAATTTGCACAGACGTCTTTTTTTTCAATGTATCTGCGATTGCTCTATAAAAGAAAATAACCCACAGTGACTTTAGGGTGTCAGTCATACCTTATCTTCTAGTCTTACCCGTGAGGCATACAGTGGAGAGGCACAATGTGGTCACCTGCCTCTTGCTGCAGAAGGGCTATGACACCCCCTTTGCTGCCCAAATTAACAGCAGCACCATCAGCACCCAGAGCAATGATTCTCTGTCTGACTGCAGCACACGCATTTTCTAACGTACACGTACAGGAATATCTGGACCACGGCCAATCAGAGGGGTGGGGTCCGCCCGCCCTTCACTATCTCTGATTGGTTTAGACCACAATATGGGCCTAATGTGTGTCTGTTGTTGAACCACAGGGAGACTTTCATAGTCGCGGAGACTTTTTTTTTCCCCGCGAACGGCTGGTCGCACCAGTGCGACCTCAGATTTTTTTTAGTCGTACCATTAAAAAATTGGTCGCACTCTAGAGCCCTGTCATATGATGCGATTTCAAGTTTTCCTTTCTCTTTGGAGTGTTACAAGCTGATTGTGCATAGATAAGATCCCTGAAGGGGCGTTACATTTCCGACGAGTGCTTGCGGTGTTCGGCCAATCACAATGCACTGGGTCAGCTGGCCAATCAGAGCAGACTGCGCTTGTCGGAAGGAGTATTACTATAGTATAGTTACTGCTATACTGATACTCCTACAATACCAATACTAATACCATTATAACCTGACAAGTGCCATACCACTACATTTACACTAGTTCTGTCACTGATACTAGTACTACACGGATGGTAGTGCCATACCACTGTGTGGATGCTAGTACTACACCACCACTGTTAACAATTACAAGTACTTTACCTACACTAGTTAACATGCAAGTGCTACTAATCCTAGTTCTATAGCACTATACTGTTACCAGTTTACTGCCGTGTTGACACCATGCCACTATAACACACATTGCAACAGTAAAGACTTTAACAACATACACTCACTGACTACACTAACCAGAAACATCCCACCTCTCAAGAGCTCATTTCAGCTCAGTCAGAACCACATCTGCATTCGTTATGAGCAGTTGAGGTCTGACACTTCTGACAGGGTTTCAGTTTAAGGTAGTTTCCAAATCTGTTCTGACTCATTTGTCATTGCTCGCTCAATTGTCATTCATTCCTGTCTCAGCAGAAATAGCTCTGATGCCCGATCAGGTTACTGCAGCCCTAGACATTGTTAATACATTTGCTTATCTTGAGAACCGGCCTAGTTGCAGAAGTCGGGCACGGAGGGTGTAATGACAACCTGCAGTAGGCCACTGTGACCTTCATGAACATGTGACAGCCTTCTCTGGTATCTGGCTTAGTAGTTGCAGTTAGTTGCCAGTTCTTTTTATCTCTTTTGCTTAATCTGCCGTCATCCTTTTTTAGTTTTTTCTTATGTCATTACCATTTGAGGGATAAAGATCAAGCCATGTGGTTTTCAACTACACAACATTTGTGACAATACCCAGATGTTTGCCATTGTCCACTCAATCAGTGTTGAGGTTACTAAAAACAAGTTTGCCATCACTTATCAATCAGAGTGTCCACTGGTCAAGGAAACGTCACTCTAATACAGAAGGTCTTATCGTTATCTTGCTTTCTTCTATTCCTCTCAACGTTTCCAGGCTTATGAACTATCCACCTTAACGGGGACGCAAGTTTTGCTCCTGGTTGCCAGCGAGACGGGCCACGTCTACACGTTCGCCACGCGGAAACTTCAGCCCATGATCACCAGTGAAACGGGTAAAGCCCTGATCCAGACCTGCCTAAATTCCCCTGATTCTCCACCCCGTACGGACCCTTCAACGGACCAGCGGATGAGTGCCACCGGATTCGAGGAAACGGACCTCACCTACCAGGTCTCAGAGGCTGATGGTCTCACAGAGCCAAAGGTACATACTTTCTGATACATATTTTCAGTCAACTAGTCGATGACTAGATGGTCGTAAGTAAGCTCTGTATAATCCTGCTAGTTTAGGGTCATGTTGTTTACAAGACACAGACCAGATGTATTTTTTAAAGGTGTTCATTAAGGATGCATTTTTGTTTTTATGATAGCAAGAAAGGATGGAGTGCAACAGGTTTCAAAACATGTTTTGAAATTTGGTAGAAAAAAGTTGAAACTTGTTAATTTGATGCATCATCTTAAAAATGGTCAGGACACATCATGCAACGAATTGCATTCTTGTGTTCACAATAGCTGGATGGAGCACAACAGGTCTCAAATTTTGTTTGTTATAAAGTTGAACTAAGTTGGTAGAAAAGTTGAAACTTAATTGTTAATTTGATGCATTGTCTTACAAATGTTCTGGATAAGTGGCACAACAAATAATGTGAACCAAACTTTTTTTTATTAGGGGTGCTCACTTAGGATGCATTCTTGTGTTCATAATAGTTGGCTGGAGTACAACAGGTTTTGAGACCTGTTTTGAAAATTGGTAGAAAATTAGGTAGATAAAGTTAAAACCTGTTGGATACATGGATAAAATTATGGGTACGTCATTTAAAGAAGAAAAGGAAATCTAGATAAACTCGCTACCTGACATTAAAGTCGGCATGAAACGGAAGTTGCGATTGTCTTTTCTTCTCTACTGTGACGTATATCTGAGTGAAACGGCATCTGAAATGAGAGGGCGGGACTTGATTTCGTCCTTCAGAAATTGATTGGATCGTTGGAAGTTGGGGCGTTGCTAACAAAATGGAGGCAGATCTGAATGCCAGTTTGCAGTTAGTGGTGGGGGATTTCTCTCCACTGGATTCACAGCCGACACCCAAGCATGAATAAATGTTTTATTTATTAAGGATGACGAAGTCATGGTGACTTTAATGTTGTTGGTTTGACTGGACTAGTCTCATTAGACCAGTGGTTCCCAACCCTGGTCCTGGAGGCACCCCAGCACTGCACATTTTGCATGTCTCCTTTCTCTGACACACCAATTTCAGGTCTTGGAGTCTCTATTAATGAGCTGATGACCTGAATCAGGTGTGTTTGATTAAGGACACATGCAAAACGTGCAGCGTTGGGGTGCCTCCAGGACCAGGGTTGGGAACCACTGCATTAGACTATTTGGTTAATGAATTAGTTGAGTGTGCCAGATATTTTTTATATCTAAATACGAATCTTTATAGCACCATAGTCCATCATTTGAGTAGAAACTTACTCCCATTCCTGAGTTTCTTGACCTTTGCAGGTCTTGGTTTTCCAGACTACAATAGCGTGTTTTAAACGTGGAAAGAAATCATGCACAGCTTTCACACAAAATCCTTTTTCGACTATCTGCATACATCCTGCAAATACCATTTTTGCCTACATTTAAGAATGTTTGCGTCACCCCAATCACGTCTTGCATGGCAGTATGTATTATTGTCCAGCTCTCATTGATAAGGATTAGATGCTGTCTGCATGTCCTTATATAGTCTGATTTTCCCAGTACACTTTCTTGGCTCATGGCTGATCACATTCTGTATAAGCTGCAGCTGTTTTCAAATTTGGATGACATATCCCCCCCTTTTCCCTACTGATTTAGGGCAAGCAGTGAGTGAGCATGCAAAAATTAGAAACCCGAACCTCTGTTTAAGAAATTGCTTTAAAAAAAGCAGATCCTCATCTTGTTGAGCTGATGACTAGCTCATCATATAGTCCATGTTTTGAAAAGTCATCAGAGGAATGGGGTACCTCCTTCCATGTTTGATGGCTGACAAATGCTCCAGGTCTTTATGACACAGATTGGTTTTTGGTTACAGATGCTAAATATTAGTGGTCGACCGATATTGGTTTTTTGACAGCCGATGCCAATATCTTGGAAAGCAGGGTGGCCGATATAA